AACATTGTTATTCCGTGTTGTAAGTGTGCAAGGACTAATGTAGAGAAGCACATATAGATAGTGGTATAATTGAGATTAAAATTGTATAAGACGAAACCTCATCAAAATCTGGACAAATGCAGTCCTTTGACTCTGATTAAATCCCAGCACTCTGAATGACCGACCTTCACCTTCCATCAAAGGAAGTGGTTCTGAGGGGTCCACTGTTCAATGTTGACAAGTGTTGCTTTTAGGTATCATATTACTTAGATTCATGAAAGTGTGAAACAAATGATATGTATCCCTTCCATACCACGTGCTCTTTTCCTATACGGTCTTTTCAAGGTTGCAACTCCAGTTGCTGCTGTCTCACCATCAGATGAGTCAGCTTCATAGTTATCATCTTCTCCATCAGAGCTCACATCTTCCAGACCGGCAAGGTCATCTTCTTCAACTGACACCATCTAGAAATGTCATGAATAGAAATTACAATTACAATGAGAACACACCATAATATAGATCCCCAAACCGGTAAAAGAATACTACTATGTTACTAACAGGAGCATGCACAAACTACAGCATTTATACACAGCTCCAAGAGAAAACAAATAATACACAAGGAATTAAATAAGATCAGGGGGAAATGGAATATTCAAACATTTGCTCCTTGAAAATATTATAATTTCTCAAAATCATGTTTAACACTACAAATCAGACTTGAAGAAAGAATGAAAGATTATACTTAAAAACTAGCATTTCTTCATTGGGATTAACAATTTAACAAAACAGGTGCCCTTAGATTAAACATCCAAACCTGCTTACGGCTTCTCTTCCCCTTGCCCATTGCACTAAGTTCTTCGACTTTATGAACCTCATATCTGTCTCGCAGCAATTCCTCCCAGTAACTTGCCCTTTCTGAACTGTTTAAAGCTGGTTTATCCTCTGATAGCATTGTTGGAACTTCCACTTCATCTTTTGATTTTGTTTCATCTATGTATTCGAAGTTTGCTACCTAAAGCATTCAAGATGTTTTAGCATTTTCAAAATAAAGAATCTAATCAAAGTGCAAATGAAATAACAAAATAAAAGGTGAGTTGTACAATGCCCAACTGAAGAAACAATATCAAAACAATCACATTAAGGAAGTGTTCACTTTATGGGTCAGGGGTTCAGGGCATCCATTTTTGAGGACCTAGAAAGTGTTCAATTCTTAACCATGTGGCCCATGTGTGGATAGAACATCAATCAATATCAAAACAAGAAATGCAAAGGTAATTGTAGCCTTGTCCCATGTAGTTCTTACGCCATTAACGAAACATGTAAAAGGTGAAAGTAAAGACATCATATCACATTAAATTCAAGTACAGAAAGCTAACAATCTTTTCACTGGCTAATCACTTGCATAGTTCCATGCATCAAGGGATTCAAAAACAGAAACAGTGTGTCTAGTTTTAACGAGGATAAGGTTCCGTACATCTTGACCCCTCACCCCCAAAAGGAGTAGGGGTTATACTGGTTTTGTTGGTGTTGTTGTATCAATGTATCATGCAGACTTTTAGCATCTTAATAAAAGGAAGTCCGGGTGAAATTTCTATTCATTCTACATGCAGTTTGCTCAACAGTAAACTATGGCTGCTTTCTACATGCAATTTGGTAATATCTCTATGTTGGACCCTCCAATTCAAAATGAAAATAGTTTGGATTGTGTCAACAACTAACAAAATAAAAGTGTTATACTATTGAAACAGAAAATAACCAACTCAAAGTTATATCTGCTTCATTTTCATATTTCTGGTACCTGAAACATCAGGGGGACCAGTTTCACCATGAAGCATGCCCATGCTCATTTGGCAAGAGAATAAAGGGAACCAATTACTGGATTTACTGCTAGTGTGGCAAAATCATCCATTGAAGAGAAGTACATATGAAATAAACCTTAAAAGCATTCAAGAAAGTATATGAAATAAACCTTAAAAGCCTTCAAGAATGTATCTTCTTCTTCATCATCTAAAACAACTTCCTCATCTCCAACTTGTTCACGATTCAGTAATCTGATGTCCAAACAGTTAAAATACTGAAGTATAATTTCACTTCTTTAGTTCTTTACGAAGCACGGGTAAGTTAAATAGAGAAGTTGAAGAGAATTTTTTGTAAGGCACGATACATATGAAGGAAATAATACTAACCTATCTATAGCAGCTTCATCATAGTGGATTTGCTTTGATTTTCCAGCATCATCGGTGTCATCAGTAAATAACTCCTTTGAACCATACCTAATAATATCGTTAAGTTCTTCCTGCGTTCAGATTTATATTGCCACTATTAATTTTAAACATCAAGCTAATTATAAAAATAGTCTTACAAAAGAAAGTACACATGAGCTAGATAGTCCTAGGCATACAAATTATCAAATTACAAGTATACCACAAAAGAGATGTGGTTGTGGAAGTTATGTGACCTTGGAACACCTCAAAATACAGTAGTTAAAAAACGTCACACCAGGGAGACTCAACTATAATTTGAGAATATGAATATTCCGTTGAGAGATAATTACTTTGTTACGAAGACACTTTCAATTATTTATAGCACATAAATATAAATACTAAAATAAAACCAAATAACTCAGCTATTTGAAAAAACAAATACTTCATATGGTGCAATTTTCCTTTTAAATTATAAATATAGTAAGAGTACTGAGCCAAGTGACTACATCACACACTAAAATAATACAATGATATTTTATTGAACTGTGAAGCAAAGAGCACATTACAGACTTTGTAGTTAGCCAGTTACTAGGCACTAAGACAAAAAGGTGATAATTTACCATTTCAGTTAGCACTGAAAAAACACAGAGTAAGCTTAAATACATGTAAGATTTCAAATTAGCTTCACTCTGAATGTTGATGGAGATCGTATACCGCACAATTTATATAGGTAAATAATTGAGCAAACAAACTCAATGAATTTTGTTTCAACTTTAACAGCAGAAGTTTTTATTTGGAGAGAAACCTGGTTGATGTTCTGAGCCTTGAGCCTCCCAACAACTAGATGTTCTAAAACCATCTTTTTCTTGGTCATTTGCATCATGCGTTCTTCAATTGTTCCTCTTGTTATGAGTCTATATATCAGTACCTGGCATATCATAAACAAACACATAAATCCGGAGACGCAACCAAGGAATCAAAATGTTCTGAACAGATTCATAAAATATACTCCTTCAATTCCTATTTATTGGTCTAGGATTCTAGGTTGATCAAGTCACACAAATTAATATAACGCATTGGAATGATAAATTATTCAAAACTGTTAGTATTGTCCAATAAAATGACAATTGTAATTAACTATATTAAATAAAATAGGAAACATATAAATAAGCATCAATAAAATGACAATTGTAAAAAAAATTGAATAGGGAAAAATAGTTTATGTGCAAAGATTTTATATAAAAGGAAAAAAGAGAAGTGGACAACCAAGAAAGATGCGCATATGTGTGTGTGTGATACCTTGTTTGTTTGCCCCAACCTATGAGCTCTGGCCATTGCTTGTAGATCAGCATGAGGATTCCAATCGCTGAAAAAGAGCACCACTTGATTAATAGAGATGTTTATGAACCCATTAAACCACTAAAAAACTTAAGTTTTGTTATTGATGGACCAGAAAAAAGGCATTAAGACCTTACAAGGATCCATAATTTCATCTAACGATAAGGCCTCTAGGGTTTTGGCCACGCAAACTCATACAAATTAAACTCTAGAGTTCTTAATTACTACTCCCTCCGTCCCAAAATCTAAAGAAAGTTCTAGGATGAAAATGAGAGTGACGAAGAAACAGAACGTGTAAATTCATCATGTCAATAGTGTATCAGATATGTTACTCCATCTTTCTTAAATGGGCCACACCACGTGCATATACATCTATGACATATGAAAGAAAATCTAACTTCATCAAATTTATTTATCAATCAAAGCAAAAATAAGAAAAAAGGTAATACTAGTATAAATCTTTAAAACCTGTCATATATAATCACTGTATCAGCGGTAGCTAGGTTAATTCCCAATCCTCCAGCCCTTGTTGACAGCAGAAAACAAAATCTGGAAGAATTCGGAGCATTAAATCTATCTATTCGAATTTGCCTTTCAGCTCCACCAACTTTTCCATCAATACGTTCATATTGCCAATCCTGATCAGAGAAATGGAAAGAAAGCAATGAAGACCAATTTTCCAGATAATGAACTGAGCACTGCATCACATTTTAAAGCTCTAGATGATCAAATTAAAGTGCAATTACCCTAAAGTTGCAGTAATCTTCTAACAAGTCCAGCATATGCTGGAACTGTGAATATACTAAAACTCTGTGTCCTTGCTCTTTAAGCTTCACCATCATCTTATCAAGAAGTTGCAATTTGCCAGAAGACTCGAGAAGCTTCCTGTTATATAAATGCGAGTGAGAAAAATATGTATCGAGTTCAATGAAAAATGCATAATAGTTTTAACGTGCATTGACGATGTCCACCAGAAAGACAACCATATGTGCTGCCACTGGTTTTCTCTAAGAAATCTATTTTTTTAACATGAAATTACTTTTTATGTGGAAAGCCAAACATAGTGTAAACTATCTAGCATCTTTTAGATTCTATTTAAGCCTTTGACAGTGGAACTTTCCATGGTTAAAACGTTGCAATGAGTCTTACTTGTTAAACTCTTTATTATCCTCTGGTTCAACGCCTTCTAGCATGAAAGGGTGGCAACAAAGCTTGCGTAGTTCCATAACCACATTTATAAGAGAAATCTGATGGCATGAACAGGGCCTTAATTAGATGTAAAAAATAAGAGTGCAAAGGCAACTCCTAAAGGAAGATATAACATACTTGTGCACCACCCTTACGAGTAAGTATCTGATAATTCCGTGTCAATATTGCTTTATAATATTCTTTTTGCATGGTGCTCAATTCCACACGTAAAATGAGCTCCTTTTTAGGAGGTAATTCCTTCATGACATCTTTTTTTAACCCTGCAATTTAAGATGTGATCAGCCAACTAATCAAGACATTTTGAAAATATAACAGGAATCCTACAAAGAACAGAAGTGTACTTCTAAGCAGATGTGGTGCCAACATCTTGTGAAGCCTTGAGATCTGCTCTTCTTGACCAATATCCTTGAACTCCTCTTGGAATTCCTCCAAGCTTCCAAACTGCAAAGATTAATATAAAACATAAAATTGCTTAGGAAGTAGTTGCTTCTGGAAAACTTTGCAGACACTGACCTTTCCAGCATCGAGGAAGTGCATCAGCATGAAAAGTTCATCCAAGTTGTTCTGAAATGCATAAAAGAAAGACAGGTATCAGAGCTAATAACTGAGCCTAAGAACTAAAAGATAAAGCAAGCTCTACAAATGTTTCAATCTTGCAAGCACAACTACAAGCGTTTATGTATGAAAGAGAATTGTGAATATGCAGCAAAGGCATCATCCAGAAGTATAACAGTTAACAAGAGCCTAAATGCATACTCAAGCAAACAATTATCACAAGGTGAAGGCAATATTGATTTGTAATTCAAAAAACTCTGTCATATGGTGCCACCACAATTCAGCATATATCATCAAACTTGACAAAAAGGTTATTTTAAAAACAATGTAGATTCTAGGTGTAATCTTTAACGAATGAAAGAAACTATCCACAGATGAGTAACACTATAACCAGCTTCACTAAGACAAATGTTGAAAATGTTCACAAACCTGAAGAGGTGTTCCAGTCAAGAGGACACGATGCTTGCTGGAGTATTGCTGCAATGAATAGAACAATTTTGAATCCTTGTTCTTCAAACGATGCCCTTCATCAACAATCTAAATACATATGTTGGTCCCTCAGTAAGGCTCAATCCAAGCGTTAAGGGAAAATCACATGAAGGTAAATGAGACTTACCATGCATTCCCACTTTATTCGTTTCAGAGATGCACTATCTAAGTTAATCATTTCATATGATGTCAGAAGAACATCAAATTTTATCCTGTCTAGCTTGCTCTCCCCATGGACTTGACTGGATTTCTTTTTCTTGATCTTCTTGTGCCTTTTTGGGAAGTAAAACTCATATTCCCTTATAACAGAACGTGCAATGGATGAACCAACATACATAACCTACATCAGTGTACTTATGTTAAGGTTAATACCCAATAATAATGATGAGGTATTATGCGACTTCAGTCAATGTTCAAAAAAAACCTACAGTCCTTGTATTCCAGAAAGTAACATTTTTTCAGAGAGAGAGAGAGAGAGAAAGAACAAAATCTCTTGAAGTGATGACAATCTGTAGAGTTGCCTTCGTAAAAGGCATGCATGTCATATACTTATGAAATGACATACACACACACATACACACTGAAATGACAAACAGAAATTGTTCATTATCTGAGCTTCTTTTTAAAAAGAATAAGAAATACAGATTTTAGTATTCGTGTTACTCTACACTGCGCTTACCCACCCCTTTGCCGCCTGCAACACCAGTACTCTTAGCCAAACCAACTTCAAACAGTGTACCAAGTCCAATAGTTGGCCAATTGACATGACTTGTGGACATCAAACGCAACAAAGTTAGAGAGGAAAAGGAAACATGACAACTGAAGAGTAGAAGGCAGACTAGGTTTTGTTGAGTTTCTGGTACTCCCTAGCTTCTTTTTGGTGATGGATGTGCTGACGAGGCATACCCAGGGGGAGGTACCTTGGTGCATGTTGTTTGCAGATAACATTGTACAGATTGACGAGACACGAGAGACGTAGTGATAGGTTGGAAGCTTGGTGACACACTTTGAATCCAAAGGTTTCAGATTGAGCAGAATTAAGACCAAGTATGTGGTATGTTGCTTTAGAGGTGTGTCGGAAGTGGAAGTGAGGATTGAGTCGCATCCAATACCTAAAAGGGTTAAGTTTTGATATCTTGGATCCATAGTTGTCACGGTGCCAAGGCGAGGCGCCAGTGTACCGCCATGACGACTAGGCGACTACCTAGGTGATAATTAGGCGACCTAGGCGGCAACACATAAGAAATCAGGATTGATATACGTTAGTATGACTAAGTAACACTAGTAAAAATATAAACATACGGAGTATATGTTCTCTAATCCTAATCAAAATTTAAAATACACATACTTAAAAAAATATAAACACACCATAATGTGAAGAAAAAAAATATGTAATACGAGATATTATTAAAAACAATATGCGACTTCTTAGTGCAAACTAAATGCTGAGTATGAAAAGAGTCACTGACTAAAAGGCATAAAAGATTTATAAAAGATTTTCAAAAAGCGATGCCCGGATGCCTAGGCGAGGCCAAGGCAACGCCTAGGCGAGAGATTCAAAAAAGGCGAGGTGATACACTAGGCGAGAGGAGCACAGCGCCAGGACGCCTAGGCGACGCTGTGACAAATATGCTTGGATCAATCATTCAAGCCTCATGGGGATGTTCCACACCGTATTGGTGTCGCGGGCAAAGGGAAAGCTTGCTTCAGGAGTCCTTTGCGACAAAAGGATATTGGCAAACCTAAAAGCAGGGACTTTTATCGGGTTGTTGTCACACTGACTATAATTTATGGTGTAGAGTATTGGGTTGTGGAGGATGCTCACGTTAGGATGCTAGGAGTGACATAGATGAGGATGTTGAGGTGGCTGTGTAGTCATATGAGGACGGATAAGATCTAAAACGAGGATATTCTGAGAAAGGTGTGAGTGGTTTCTATGGAAGACAGGTTGTGTGAAATAGATTTAAGTGGCTTGAACACATACTAAGGTGAGGTACGAATGCCATGTGCATGAGGCTTGAGGTAAGGGATGTAACAAAGGGTAGAGGTTGAACAAAGAAGAGTTGGGAGGAGATGATTCGTCATGATTTACAACTCCAATATCTTGCCGAGGATATGACCTTAGATAGGCGTGTCCTGAGGTCTAGGGTTAGTGAAGTAGGGTAGTCATTTGGGCTTTAGTTTGCGGTTTCTGCTTGACTGCGTTTATGCCTTAGATTGTAGTTTATGTTTGTGTGTTTATTCTGTTTGTATCCTCTCTTTGTTCATGATATTTTCAATTGTTGATGTGCTCGTGTTTTGGATTGAGGGTCTCTTGGAAACAGTCCCCCTACTCTCCGAGTAGGGGTAAGGTATGTGTGCGTACACTCACCCTCCCCTCAAACCCCACTATGTGGGATTTTACTAGGACTGTGGTCGTATAAGAGGGTAGAAAGACGCCAAAAGTACTGCAATAAGACGCGATGATACAACTACTTTTGGATCTTGGACTCCAATGTGTTCCCTTTGTATTGGAGGCTACATCCCACAATGCATCACTATTAGTACCTATATTTATGCTACATGTGATCATAGTTTGTAAGGCGTCGCCTAGGCGATAAGGCGCTGTCACTGGGACGCCTTCTCTGCTCGCCTCGCCTAGAAACCTTTAGGCGACCAGGCGAGCGCCTAGGCGTCGCCTTACCTCGCCTTAATTCGCCTTACCTCGCCTTGAAGCCTTGGGCCCCTTTAAAATTTTGAAAAACCCATTTTTTAGTGCAGCCCTTTTTCTTTTAGTGTAGCCTAACAAACTTAAACTTATCTTCTCTCTCTCTCTGTCTTCTCTGTCAAGCTTCCTTAAAATGTATAAGACCTATATATACATATACATATACATATACATATAGATATATATATATATACATATATATATATATATGTATATATGTGTGTGTGTGTAGGTATGTATGTCGCCTAGTCGTCGCCTAGGCGTGCGCCTAGTCGCCTAGGCGATATGAAGGTACATTGGCGCCTCGCCTTGCCGCCTTACAAACTATGCATGTGATAAGTGATAACCAATGTTCTTAACTGAATGTTTTGCAATACACATTTTCCTGGTTTTTCTCCCAAGTTCTCTAGCAAATAGCATCCCCATCACACCAGTTTCAACAAGGAAGAAGACCAAAAAATGGACCTCCAAAATAAAAACTACTCCCTTCAGTGCTATTATAAAGCTCAATGAGCCTTTTATTTGTATGGAGCTTACATTGTTCCTTTTCCATAGTTTTACCCATGATACATATTGCATTCATGTTTAAATATTTATTTACAAGACTTGATAAAAGAGAGTAAAACTGGAATATTATAATCTTTTTTAAGAGAAAAAAAGAATATTGACTACTTTTCTTGGTTTGAGTAATCTGATCAATTGTGCCTTTTAATAAGGTCCGGAAGGAGTAGTAAAACGAATCCATATATTATGCTAATACTTACAACATTCATCTGGGGAGCCCATGTGGCAAATTCACGTTCCCAATTTCTCAAGGTTGAAAGAGGAGCAACAACTAAGTGAGGGGAAACGCTCTCCTTAAAAAGAGATGCTAAGAATGCAATGCTCTGTATGGTTTTTCCTGCATTTTTGCTAGTCAATCACACAAGAATATTCTAGAGATTAAAGAAGCATAGAAAAAATAAGAAATTATGATTTAGTACAGAAAAAATCTCACCAAGGCCCATCTCATCTGCAAGTATCACATGTGTCTGTTTAGACCAAGAATATCGTAGGAAGTTCAGCCCTTCAAGCTGATAAGGGTGCAGAGAACCTTGCATTCCATACCATTGGCAAAGCTTTAGAAAACAAATTGCAGAGATATGATAAAACCAAACAGAATCAAGGATATTGTGACTACCTCCAGAAAGAAATTCAGGACTGCATTCATACTGCTGAAATTCTTTTTGTTTCGAATTTGATTCAATTGTATCTTCATTACTTTTTTTGTGCTTTTTTGAACGTCGGGACTGGAATTTGTTAAATCTTTCAATTTCATACTGAAAAGAAGAAATGTCTGACTCGAGCTCCCAGCTACATTCATCATACTGAAGTTCCTTCCACTTCACAAAGTACTCCTTGTCCTCACCTTCTCCTCTGTCAAAGAGCACAACATAGTGCCTCCTCAATGCTTGAAGTAAAATTAAATATGCTAAATACATAATATTCAAGTATACCAGTCAACCGCACTAACAACAACAACAGTCCAATATAAACCCGACTCCATTGGGGTCTAAGGCTTCAAGATGTACACTGTCATACCCCTTTAAAATACAGAGAGACGGTTTCTGTTAGACCCTTGTTGCATCGCTGCATTTATTACCCAAAATTTCATTGAAAGTAAGAAGCAAAAGAAGTTAAATGTGCCATTTTGATTAGTGTGTCATTTGATTTAGTCCATTATTTATCCAAAGTTAAAACATTTGCTAAAGGTAGGAAAAATACGACATTTTAGTAGAATACAATGAGAATCAATCATTTGCTAAAAGTATTTCTATGAAATTCCTTAGTTCTAATTGCTTAATATTATGAAATTATGTGATATATTCCACACGTATCTCCATAAAAGATCAGTATTACTAGGATCCTTTTTAAGGACGCGTTACTAGGATCCTGAAGTGCATCAAAGTAAGTTTCCCCAACCTAGTGTTTATGACACTTTACACCATATTCTTGTTTCCAATCCCCTTAGTATCTGATTCAAGTTTGTTGCCTTCCTTTATAATCTTCTTGAGATTTCCTTGCTACCCTAAAACTATATCACACTTTACTTCCAAAATTATAATTTTGTGTATACCCAACCTCGCGTCCTCGGCTTAAAGCCTGGTCCACAGCAACTCCCCACTCTATCACACAGTTTTACTAATAGAAAATTGGAGGTTTTCGTCCCTGTACTATTTCTGCTAAGGCATAGGATGTACAATGTTCTATTTTTAACTGTGTAAATTGGTCCATCCCGTGAACCTCTAACATTTTCCGACATCAGTTGCCAGGTGTTCAGTACATGCTCCAATCATTAAGGTCATTCAATCAGGTTCCTGCAGTCCTGTCACCTCTATTTCTTGTCTTGAAAAAAAGTCACTGGAGCTTTCACATATAACCAAGTTGATGGGATGGGATGTGCCCATGAAGTCTGCTCGAATATTTCAAATTTTGAGGGGAGGTGGGGGGTATCTATTTAACAATGCTACTCAATAAACAAATCTAACATTAGTAATAGAAACAATTTCTTTTAAAGCACTCTAAGTATTCAGTACGGTCCTCCAACCTGGTCTAAAGTTACATACTAAACTAACAAAGGTCCGAATAGATAAATAAAAAGGTTGAATGTAAAACCTGCAAGCAATGATGCGGTCAACTGTAGTCCATTCTGGCCGGATAGCAACATATTCTTCTCTATCACTTATTGATGACATTTGGCGATGAAAGTTGTTTACTTTAGTCTTCAGACGAGGACAACTCTTGTAAGCTTTGACAAACTCTTTCTCTGGCACCCTGAAATAGCACACACATGAGAGGATGCTGCCTTGTGTAATATAACATGATAAAGCAATGCGACAAAAGATCATTGAGAATAGCATTGGAAAATGTCATGAAAATAATGCTGAGAAACAAAAACAGCTTGGTATTATCTAGAAAAAACTTGCTTGTCTAACAAATTCAAACATACTTGGTATATTTCCTTTGAAAGTAAGGTCTAGGGAGGGTGGTAAGTAGATACCTTGCCTCTACTCCTAGAAGTAGAGAGGATATTTAGGTGAAGACCCCAGGCAAGAAGCGAAGTGTGGTGTGAGCAGTGTAAATAAAAAACAGAATAGCGGAACAGTGAGAAAATAAGTAATTGTGCAAGAAAGCAGAAATGCAAAGAACTGGCTAACAGTCTAACACCTCCCCAAGAAAATCCTTATTACATGGCTAAGAGAGTCTCCGACCCCCCCCCCCTCAACCAGCTAAGTTAACGTGCACAATCCTACAAGAATCATGCACATCATTAGATTTCATGTAGACGATCATAGACAAAACAAAAAACAGATAAAGAGAGCTAAGGGCTACCATAATTAATTTTTTGTTTGAAGGGTTATCACATTTACCAAATACAATGAAGATATGACAACCCTTTCCACTTGATAAGATACTGTTTCACAAATATTTGCTTGGACCCCACTTTTGAAGCATCACAATCATCAGCAACAGTTGGGCGTGTTTCAAAATCCAAAATTTTTTCTATATCATTGAGAGGGCTCACCTGCGAAAATATAAAATCATAGTGAACGGAAATAGAAAAGATAAAATAACTTCTCTTTAACACTTTAGAAAACAATTTGAAGAGAAACAAGAGCATACACACTCAGGGCACTTCCAGCTGCTAGGAAGAGGATCTTTCAAAGGTACGAGTAGACACTTTGGATGATAGGAGTAAGTGCATGTTTCACAGTTCAGAAGATTCTCATCTCCACCACAAACTTGGCAACAATCAACTTTCTATCGAGAGGAAAAATCAGAATTAAACAAAGACATATAATCCTAATATCACAAATTCTCTATAACAATTCTAATAACATTCATGTCAAGCTCATTTCTATCAATGGCACACAAAATAAATGGGACAAACTTTTCAATGGAAAACACTCGCCATACATCACCTACCAATAAGATTTTTAAACAAAAGTACATAATACAAATGTGTATAGATCACAAAAGATCGTGTGGACAGTGTGATTATTCTAAGGCCAATTCAGGAATGTCAAAATTATGAGAAAAGAAAACTTCTTAGCTCAAAGAGAACTTTTGAGTTTTGAATATTATTTTATCATCTTATGACATTCTTAAAAATGAGCAAAGATATATAAAGACAAAAGCCAAAGCTTCAGATGTATCGTATGGAATACCCTAGCATATTTGGTAAGATTTATTATACAAAATGGAATAAATCACCTGTTTTTGGCTTTGGGGTGTGATGGAATAAATCAAAATGGATATCTAAACTATTTGCGCTTCTTTAATTAATGAAGTAGCAGTTAGTCAAGCAATGCAACTTTCGACGTTGAGCCGGGGGTCTCTTTGGAAACAGCCTCTCTACTTTCGAGTAGGGGCAAGGTCTGCGTACACACACCCTCCCCAGACCCTACTCTTGTGGGATTTAACTGGGTTGTTGTTGTTGTTTGTTTTATTATACAAAATGGGATAAAAAAAGAGAAAGTCAAACCACCGGCTCTGAATGTTTGGATTTCCATGTATGATAGGATTAATTGCAGTTAAGAGAACAGGAAAGAGGACCTCAGTCCACCCATTGTGAAATGTTTGCAATGCTAAAAACCTAAAAGGCTTACATCTCTTTCAAAATATCCCAACTTGAAAATATTTATCTTCCTTCCAGAATTAGCTCTAATGCTGACATGACAGCCCCGTTGGATTTGACACATAAATAATTAAGTATTCCCTCCATCTTCTCCATAACCTTACTTTGTACTTTTATGGTCAAAGTTTATAAACCTTGACCATGTTTAGCATGAAAAATATATTGAATTATAATTTAGATTTATTGTCACAAGATTCATTTTGAACTATAACCTTAGGATATAGTGAGTTTATATATATATATATATATACACACACACACACACATATAGACCTTGGTGAAAGAAATGAGAATCATGCATTTTTCATTCGCCATGGTGCATTTTTCAAATCAGGAAATGCATTTTACAAAGATCTAAGGGCGATCTAACATCAAAACTCTGAAAAATTTTGAAAAAAACATGCTGGCATTTTTGTAAATAAATCAAAAAAAAAATTCCAGTGCCGAAAAATGCACTACTATAAGTGCAAAATGCATCGTAGTGGACCGAAAATGCATCATTCTCATTTCTCGCCTGAACCGCGCCCTGTATATATATAACAAAACATAATTGATATGTTTTGTTTGGCCAGATTTGGTTATATAACTAATACGGAGTAAAATAATATCAAAATTTAACTAGTTTCCATTTTTATCAGGAACAAACTGAACATCACAAACTTTAATAAACATATTAATGAAAAGTCCTAATTTATAGAATCAGGGATTTTATATAGATATCCCTAAGCATATGGCCTGGGCGAATGGCAGCCCAACACCTATTACAACATCCATATAAAGTTCGTGGTGTCTTGATTTTCAAATGGAAATTAAAGACAAATTACCCGCAAATCAAAGTGACACATAAATAAAACTCAACTCTACACTGATTAGCAGTTTAGAACAAATCGATTTTGATCAGCAAGAAAACCTCTAAGAGGAGGAATGCTTGTCAAGACAAATGTTTTCTTCAAGCAGAGACAAGAAACACAAATAGAAACTGAGTATATCGCGGTCACGTCAAAACCTTAATACGATCATTCTTAAACTATGATAACCAATGCAATGAACCTAGACATGACCGATCACAAAAATGGTTAATATATGTTATCACAAAAGGCCCACAAAAAAGTTACCTTATGAAAATTTAATGAAACTTTTATTACTGTCTCTCATGACGATCAATCATCCAGAATTTAAGAGACAAACTCAAAAGGTTATATTGAGCAAAATTATTGCAGTTCATTGAATCTATACTAGCACCCTATGGAACGTGACAATACCAAAACTTTCCATACATATATACTTTTTAAAAAGGTGGATAGGGATAGTAGTGAAGGCCAATTAAAGCGTGGTTGAGTCAGAGCTATTTGGCAATGCTCGTAATCATTATTTTGATGTCCTCAAAATTTGTGGGGAAATTTGAGAGGATATTAAAACTTTGTTTTTTATTCTAGAATGTGGAATGTGTGTGAAAATAACAGGGCAATTTAAAAACCAAATGAAGGTTACGTATCGTGTCGTACTACACATCATTAGCTCTTCAGCCTGTAAACATTCCACCATCCAACCCACCAGGCCACCACCATGTGTTCACTAATTTTGTCTTATCCCAAATCAACCCCATTAGACCCAAATTCTCTTAGCCTACCCAACCACGCTTCTCTAAACCCCAACCCTTGATACTTTGCTGACAATCCACTAGACTAGCCAATTCTTGACCCATATATGCCTTTCCTTGAAGTGACATCACTAGACCAGCCTACCACCCATTCCATCTACAAATAACCCAACAAGCCTTTAACCCACTTCCCATGTTCCCCTTTACAAGTTAAATCATGAAACCTGTCATGCTTGCACTTCTAGTTTAACATTAAGAACATTATAGGGCCAAGCATTAAAACTAAGAAATGAAATGAAACAATATTACTCCCTCCGTCCCAAAAAGAATGTTCGCTTCACTAATCAAAAATCATGGAAAACTTTGTTTATTTTTGCTTTTCATTGATTACTTGATAAAATAAAATATTCTTGTCTCCACTTGCTTTGTAAAACTTTTGACGTACTTTTTAAATATGCAAGTTTTATTATTTATTTCTATACCAATCTTTAAATAAAATGAATTGATAAAACTTGATATTTTACTTCGTTTTGCGTAATGTGGCATTTTTTGGGACAGAGGGAGCATAAAATATTTTCTTCCCAAGTGAAAAACGGGTTATACAAATCCTACCATTTGAAAGACGAATAATGGAATATGATGGACTAAAGCTTATGGAGCCAAAGATTCACTATTTTTTGGCTTTGGGTATGATGGAATAAAGCAACTTGGCTCTTTACACTGTCTGCGCTTCTTGCAATTGTGAAGTAGCAGTTAGTCAATGCAACTTTCGATGCTCATCATGGGTGATCTAAAAACAGTCGCTCTATGTTTTAAACATATGGCCCGCGTACATCCGACCTCCCCTTACTACGCAATGGGCGGGAGCCATTGAGGCACTAGGGTAATGTTGTTGTTGTTGTTGTAATAGTTTAAATTTAGCAGCACACATACTACAAACAAGCATTAAAATACAAACACAAACTTTCTGTATGTGCCTTAACAAAAAAACAATGCTATGTTTGGATCAGAGTAAACTCAAGTAAAATGGGTAAACATAGGTTCACGAAAAACTAGATGAACTCAGGCGCCTGTATATAGATGTTATTTGGTTGGAGGTGAACCTAGGTGGTGGAGGCATCAAGCAAGTGGTGGAGGCATCAAGCAAGGGGTGGAGGGAGTTCCCTCGGTGTTAGATATACGGGAGCGTCCCCTAAAACTTTACTTAGTCCACAAAAGGAAAGACAAATCAGGGGAATGAAGCCAAACCATTGTGGCTTTAATTGGGTTGAAATCATTACAACAACAACAACAACCCAGTTAAATCCCACAAGAGTAGGGTCTGGGGAGGGTGTGTGTACGCAGACCTTACCCCTACTCGAAAGTAGAGAGGCTGTTTCCAAAGAGACCCCCGGCTCGACGTCGAAAGTTGCATTGCTTGACTAACTGCTACTTCATTAATTAAATAAGTAAAGAAGCGCAGACAATTTAGAGATCCATTTTGATTTATTCCATCACACCCCAAAGCCAAAAAATGGTGAAATTTTGGCTCCATCGGAGATGATGGAAGTGGGTTGAAATCATTCCTTTCTCAAATTTTAAAACCCAAATCAACACCCTTGTTACTCTACACCCCACCTAGGGCCGAACCCCCTCCCCCTTTCCAATACCTTTCCCACAACATCCAAAATAACCCAAAAAAACCTATTCTCCTCTTTCTTCTCCGCTTGGCCGAAGATCCCATCCCTAATAATACACCAAGGGGCAAATCCACAACACACCACCAGCCAAAATCAGTCCCTATTCTTTCCCCCATATGGACGAAACACTAAGTCCCAAAACAACCCCCTTTTATTCACCATCAAGCCAAATACATTCCCCCTTTTTGTGTCCCCTAACTAGGCTGAATAAACAGCCACTAAAAACCAAAACACACTACCCCACCACCAACCCAATCAACCCTTTCTTGTTCCCCCATATAATGCCTAAGATGTACTTCTAAAACAGCCAGCCCGTTCCCTTCTTTTACCCACCCTTTGGGCTGAATACAACCCCCTCCCCAACCACCAAATAATAGCTATAACATACCAGACATCATCCTTTTTTCTTGCCCCCTAGTATGGCAAACATATCCACCCAAATCACCAAAGGATTTCCATCCATTCCTTGTGATTTTTCCTACACTAGATGACAAACCAACAAGGCCAATGCACCAGCCATTACCCCTCTTTGATTGTCCCCAAATCTGGCCGAAAATATCACCCTCACATCACCCAAAGGATTGCCATTTATTTCCTTGTGATTTGTCCTCACAAATGGTCGAAACCTAGCCCCACAAGTCCATTTCCCATCCCTGAATTTTCCCCATCAAAGGAACATAAACAAGTGGCTATTATTCTTAAGATTTGACGGGAGGAAATTGCTTAGTAGCTTCCTTATGTGTGCATTTATTGTATTGTGTGTTTCTCCCCCCCCCCCCTCTCCCCTCATTATATATCTCGGCCTTATGGCCATTGTAAGGACCACTTTTTGATTATTAAAATCTTCTTACTCTTTGAGTATATTTAAAATAGTGTGATACTATTTTAGCCAAATTCCTAATTCTATATCTTAAGAGTGGTTCTCTTGAGTGTGAGTTTTAGGTTCTAGTTATTTGATTGAGTGTGTAATATCTTGATTAAATACTAGAGTTTAACCCCAAGTTATCTAGAGGTGAGTTTATCCTTTAGTATTAATTTGGCTCCAAATTAAGATAAGAGTGTGATTATCTCTTATTCTTGATTTGGAATTTATCCCATCCTCTCTAAACCCATCCTTCTCTCTTGATATTCCACTCTTCTTCAAATTATCAAAAAAAAAACACCTAAAAGAACTCCTCACCATCTCCAAATTTTGTCCAGCCCATTCCCAACCTATACACCTCCATTTTCTTCCCATCTCCAAGCCTAAAAACACCAACTTGATAAGACCCCCGGTTCACCCCTAACACTCGGAGGGCAGAGAATATAGACAATGAGTGTACATGATGAATTCACTGTGTTGTAAGGGGTAGATAGAACTCAACCTTTGACCCCACACCCCATTTTGGAGTTACTCAGAAATTGGGTTTCTAAAGGTTTTAGGAGGGTTATCTCAAGCAGACCCAGATCCTATGGAAACCTTGGTTTGGAACTTAGGTTCACCCCACACCAAACACTCACACAAAGATGCTCTAACCACAAAGTTAAGCGGGCACACAAAACAAAACAAAAAAAAACTATGTGCTAGAATGAAATTGGGAATTTGTATCATGATGAAGGATTCTTCATTCTTATTTTATTCCTACAATCAATGAATGTAAAACTAAATTTTCTAAACTCGATTTGTATTTTAATTCCAATTTCAATTTTTCCTATCACAACTATAATGTTTTTTAATACTTAATATTACTAATCTATTACTCCCTCCGTCCTAAAATTAATTTCCCACTTTCCTTTTCGGACCATCCTAAAATTAACTTCTCACTTTCTAAAAAAAGTAAGTTTTCCCTTATCAAAAGACATAAATACCCTTACACTCAATTCTCCAACTACCAACCACATTTAATCAATAACCCCCCACCCCCTATTCTTATCTGATCATCTCACCTCCTCTATCCTTTGCACTTCTCTTCAACCAAGAACCTTAGATCTTATCTATATCACATTTCGTCTTTCTCTATTTTTTCACGGAGGGGATGCCCCTTTTCTCTCCATCTTCTCTCTTCTTCATCTTTGGTTCTTTTCAAAATAATAATTTCATCTTCCGGTTTATTGGGCTAAAACAACGAGGGGTAGAAGATTTAGCAATAACGAACTCGATGTTTAACGGTGACAAAGCTTTGATGTTTTCAAAAATTGATGAACTTCGATGATGGTTGACGAGCTCTGGTGAATTCTATGTCGCAGATCTTGAAATGGGGTGCCCCTGAAGTCACCTGGATTGGGGATGCCGTTGCGGGAAATTGATATGATTTTGTGCCACGCTGCAAGAATCAGATTTGTTTCCATTTGGTTGTGGTTTAGATTTGTTTCAATTTTGTCACCCTGGTCTGTGTTGTAAAAATCCATTCTTTCCAATTTAGAATTATTTGCAAGATGCACTATAATTTTAATTTCATTTTTTTGGATTTTGTTTTTCTTTAAGAGTGTGATTAGGTGTCTCTCGTTGATGTGTATTCTAATCTACTGAAGAGATTTTGGAAGGACTAGAAGAGATAGGGGCATTTTGGGAAAGTCAATACAATTTTTTTCCCTCCTTAAAAATGAGCTCCGGTCAAACCGGGATGTTAAATATAGGACGGAGGGAGTAATACATAACAATAGTAAAGACACATTACATAATAAATATTTTTTACATAAACCTATCTTTATTTTATTTTGATTTTTTCTCTTTTTGACACACACACACATGTACACACATGCTCATGAATTAAATAGTAATGCCAAGATAAACACTTATATGTAGTGGATTCGCCATTAACTAAGGAACAACTCCAAGTTTGACTTTATACAAGTGCAGTAAATTCACTACTAATGTGGACGATATAGAGCATGATGTTATCTCCATTCAACTTAAATAAAAGAGGATGTTTAAATATAGCCTTTTATGCAACTTAGGGCAAATAAACCTATAGTTTGTTCATTGTGCAAGAAAAGCACCGCAACCAGACGTGACTTGAAATTATAAAATGTTGTGTGGAAGGAGGTATATAATGAGACCAAATTGCTAACCCTAGCCACCCCTCTAGCCAACACTAGCCCCATCTGGTACCAATCTCTATAAAGCAATTAATCAACAAATAATCAAAAATAAGAAACATAAAGCAATTAATCAGAAAATCATAAGGCAATTAATCAAAATACTCCCTCCGTCCCGGAATTTACTTTCAGGTTTGACTTGGCACAATTTTTAATAAAGTGGAATGTTAGTGGTTGTGGTTTGTGTAGAGGAAAGAGAATTGATAGGGCCAACATACTTGTTTCCTTTAAATGAAAAAGGCAGAAAATTTTGGGACAACCCAAATAGGAAAAAAGGAAGGTAAAAATGGAACCTCTGTTGCGGATTTGCTATGACAAACTCCACCCCATGGGATGGGTTGTGATAGGCTTGCATGAACGTTGAGGTCGACGACAATGATGAAAGATGATGGAAGTTTGGCGACGTGGCAGAGAGGACAGGGATGGAATACAATCAGTTCTTATGCTTATCGCGGTTAGGCTGCTACGAAATTGGTGAACTCCTACCTCCTTTGATTTGTGATTTCAATACCTTTACCTCATATTTTGCCAACCCAAAGTCCCGAACAAGTTAGGTAGGAGTCGTACCTACCTCACCTCTAAGGCTCTAACCAAACACTGCCTATAGGAACTATTGATAAACTTTGCATCTTGGACACTTGTGATTCCAATAGCATGGCAAACAATTAAATTAAAATAAATAGTGAAAATAACATTACACTTTTAAAGTTGGCACCATTATTGAAGCTTCATAATGTGTTTCTAAAAATCTAGTCGCATTCATTTTCACTCACAGTGGACAATCAAGCAAGTTAAATATCAAACAAGAATTATCAAGTTCAATTTGAGTGGTTTAAAAAAGAGAAAAACACATCCCGTTCACGCATTAAGAACAAAAAATAATTACCAAAGTACGTGCTAAAACTTAGGGAATCGAATGTCTATGAATATGTAGGAATACACCTAAAGCGAGCATTTGGTAGTGCTATGTTAAACGTTCAACCGAATCTGATCTCTACGAGCTTATTAGTATTCTAATAGTAACACTATTTGGGTGAAGCATAATTTGCTTCGGATCTACAAAACTATATACTTCAAATGAAAAAAATAAATAAAAAGGTCCGAAGTTGGACCAGAGAAATTAAAAATTTGTGTGCGTGCAGCATGTAATTGGGTAGGAAAAACATTTAGAGTATGTTATGATCCACTAATGATATAGTAATCAGGTATTGGGTATTTGAATCACTGGCTGACTGTACTTCCATTTTGAGGAGCAGTATCTGATTTCTTTCAAAAGAGATTCTCTATGAGGCATGGATCATATCAAGTCTTCTTACCATCAATTTCAAATCGATCATGCAAGTCTAAAATGAAAAGTTAAAAAAGACTATTACACCCATTGACGCGGTAGAAACCCATCTTTGAGTCTACACTGATAAGATTCTCATGCAAATATAGAAGCCTAGTTTATCATGCCAACAATAGAATTACGAATTGGTCCGCATGGGGTTCTTGCACGTACCAAGGACAGACCCCACTTCCTATCAACCATCATGAGATTATAGTTTCATTTACTTTCTGTCATCCTACTGTCTCGGCCGGAGGTACTGCCTGGGGCTGGGGTTCAACCTTTTAACTAATTGCCAGCCAAGTCTCTAAAATTCAAGTTCAACCAATGTGCTACTATCCTATGCAACGCTGAAGTTAAAATCCCAGAAATCTAATTGAATTTGAAGTGTCATCTTTCAATACTAGTGACTAGTACAAAGTTGCAAGGTCACTATAAAAGAAAGCATGTTTTGAGTGGAAAAAATGACATGACCTCTTCTTTATGTTATATCAGTGACCAAGTCAAATCCTAAATTATGGCGTGTCAATTACGTGTGAGTTAGTGAGCAGTAAGGACCACAGAGGGAAAATAATGAAAAAATAAATATGCAAGGGTACATAGAAATGAGCAATGTGGGCAACAAAAAGTTCTCTATTCCAAAATTTAGCAATTTACCGCATCAGGCCTGACAAATCTCTCAGATTTCTCCTTCGGATGGCCAGATTTGCGGCGCTTAATATCAGCTTCTTCGTCTGAATCATCAATATTGTAAATTGGCCTCCGCTCCGACCTAACACGAAGCCTTTCCACCAAACTAGCCATTTCCCTGCGCCCGAATCCAGATAACATAAGCATAAAGATGACACTAATTCTGCCAAAAAAAAAAACTATAAACGAAACACTCAAGTGAGTCCTGCTAACCAGTTGGTCACTACGTTATCGCAAAATCGAACTAAATTCAGAGTATCAAACAGAAATGTGAGTCTGGGATTTTGAGTAACTGATCTCCGGGATCATAAACGGAGAGTCTTATATGAGATGTAAAACTCCCGACCGACCGACCAGCTGAAGGCGCCCTATATACGAGGCTGAGAAAGGCGGACCTGGTAGCTCAGTCGCTCTCCGGCGAGGGTTTGAAATTCTCCCAATTCAGAAGCTGTTCATATCATCAGCAAACAATATTCAGCTTTCACCGCCATTCACAAATTATATACACCTATCTTCCCAACTCTTTTTAATCCAAGGGTTGTGGATTCGGTTTGGCGGTTCGGTTTCACCCAAAACCAAAGACAAAACGGAAGGTAAGTTGGCGGTTTGGTTCGGTTTTGCATAAAAAATATGTAAACCATTGGTTATTTAGTTCGGTTTTATGGGGTTTTTATTTCGGTTATTTCAGTTTTTAAAAATAAAAATTTATAAGCATTAAAAAATTGTAAAAATACTAACCCGATGAAGGAATAACAATATGTAGGTTTGTGCTTGGTTTTTTTGTTTGATTTTTATGCAAAACCAAAACACAAACAGAAGGTTGGTGTTTTGTTCGATTAAATTTTAGAAAAAAAATACGTGTCGGGTGTCCAACTAAAATCTAGGAGATTTCAAGTACTTTCAAAGACATCATATGTAAATGTATAGAGAATTTGCATCCTATCCTATATATATATATATATATGTAAAGCAAGGTTTATTTCTTGGAGTGTTGACATGTGGCATGCCACATGTGCATCCACATGTGCATTCATTAATAAGATGGATAATTTCATTAGTCCATTTAATTATTTAAAAAAATCTTTTAACACATTTTATTGTATTACATTCAATAAATATTATATTTTAGTATTAAAAATATTACTATAATTATACTTTTTATAAAAAATGTTATTTTTTTCCAATTTTAAAAACATATATCATCATTGTAAAATTTATTTCGTACTCCGTATTATATATTATATATTTTTTATTATAATGTTTTATTAATGAAAAGTATTTTCATTAGTACTTCATTGAATAATGACCATTAGTTTTGCATATAATTTTTGTTTTTAAATAAACATACCAATATATATTCCACCAGTTTAAAACATACTTTGTTTACATAATTAAATTATATCTATAAAAAAACTTAACTTTATGAATGTTTTGAAAAATAAAGTTTTAATTTATATTATTTTTAAAAATAATAAATCATTTCTCTTTTACTACTTTTAAAGAAAATATTTATAGATTCTTTAGTGCATTTACATTTATATTTAAATTATATTATTTGAAAAAATATATATCTTAGAGTTAAATAAAATATTCATCTAACACATATTATGTCACTATTAGAAAACTAAAATAAATAAAATTATAATTATAGAATGTAAAAAATGTAAAATATACACGAGCCCGTGCGAAGCACGGGATTAACACTAGTTTTTGGTATAGTACTTTAATTTCCATTATAACATCAAAGGTTTTAACGTAAATGTGTAAATTACTTGTATCAATGTTTAATGTTGATATATTTCTGCATTAGGGTTAGTTCTTGTTGTTTGTATTCTTAGGTTTTCTAAAGTTTATAATATGGTTTAAAATATTTAATTAAAACTTGAAAAATAACTTTAGTCGACTAGTTAACTATTTGGATCTATATATAATTTTTTACATATAATATGTACTCAAATAAATAAAGCGAAATACCTAAGAAAGTTCGGTTTTTCAGTTCGGTTCGGTTTTCCAAAGTGAAAACCAAAACGGAAACCAAACAATAACGGTTCGGTTCGGTTTTTTTACATTCGGTTTCGGTTTTTCGGTTTGGTTTTTTTCTAGCTCATTTCGATTGGTTTCGATTCGATTCGCGGTTTTCGGTTTTGCCAACCCAGCCCTGTAATTACCGAGTCTACAAAATTAAAAATTACTCCATATAATTTACGGAGTATCTATTTAATAAATAAATTAAATTTTGATTGAATTTCATAACTGGCTCTTTATAACAAGGTGGTTTTCATATTTAATCCTCTATTATCAAATATTACACTCGTAATCCTTCTTTTATAGGTGCTTTTCCGCAAATAATCTTTTTTTATCTTCTGTCATATTGGTTAGACTGATAACATAAAAATAAAGACTATGATTGTGAGCTAGGATTCTGTTAGTAGAGAGCGATTGTAGTTCACAAACGACGCATTAAGAACGACTTTTAGAATTATGTATGACAAGAATGATATATTATCATTGCGAAATTACATTTTAGCCTTCAAATTAACACCAACATGATAGAATATCAAAAAACTATTTGTAAAAAGGTACATATAAAAGAAGAACCACTTGAATAATATTTGATAATAGAGGACTAAATAAGGAAACACTCGTGTTGTAAAGGACTAATTATAGAATTTACTCGTAAACTTTCTATAAAAATTATGTTATTTTAGTAAAAAAATAATGATAATAAATTTTTATAAAAAGTATAGTTTGTTAACACGGAATAATAAAGTGAGAAAATATATTCGAGATGGAAGAAATATAAAGTTATAGCGGATTTTATTATCATGGAGTTTTAATTTTGGTATACTTCAAGTATTTGTTACTCTCTTATATCTATGAGAAATTGTTATTTTAGAATATAATCTATCTTCAAACTTTAATTGTACAAATTAATTTTTTTATTTCATTCTTTTAACAAACATGACAACATTGGGGAAGCAATATCAAAATATATTTCTAAATAAGTTAAATTTATGGCATTATTGTTTTATTTTGACTTTTTTCTCTCTTGTTTATAATTAATACTTATACGAAATCTCATATTTACACAAACTGACTGAGATTATAATTAAATTTATTTTCTCTTATCTAATTGTTCGATGAGAGACCCTCGAAGATGGGGTGTCATACTTTCATTCTTTTATACGTAGTACTTTGTATCTAATTAATACGGAGTCCTTTTTAAATGTATACATTCTTACCCCCATCCTAAATTAATTAGATTTGTTTAATTTTACGATATTTTAAAAATAAAAGCAATTGATAGTGGCACTCAACATTCTTATTTAATAACAAAAAGGACAATGTTGCCCCTCTAACAAAAAACTTTTATTCTTATCAGCCTAAGAGATATGTTAGAGAAAAGTTACTCGGTGCTAGCTTTATCAATTTCACCCTCACATTTTCAAAATATTATAATATCTCTAGTTTAAAAAATAGTTTCACCTTTGTTTATTTTGTAACACATATAAACTTTTACTTATATAGTCTTACCTTAAATGTGTAAAGTACTCCTCATATCTCCTTTATTGTGTGTAAAAGTTATTTTAGGAGTATTTTAGATCTTTTAGGCGTGAAAGAAATTTTTTGTGGGGGGTATAAAAAAAGGAGATGGAATTCTTTTTTTCAAACTGAGGAAGTACCAAAATGCATTTCACCATTTTAATGTTTCAATATATATAATTATTTTATTAGTATTTGAAAACAACGAGTATGTGTTTGTTTTTTTTTCAAAACAAAGCTTTACACGAAGTATATTCTGTTAATACGACTCACCATCAAAATTAAATTTTGAAACCTAGTTTTGGCTCCTTTTTTTCTTTGAAAAAGTCTATTTAGAATGAAACAGGTCTAGTTTCTATAATTTTGAATTTTTTGATAATATATTTTGAATTAAAATTTTACTCAATAAAATTTTTTATTTACTTTAATTGTATAATAAATATACGGTATGCATTAGATAAATATTTTTTAATTAATATATATGAGTATATAACTTTTTTAAAATACTTGTAGTTTTAATAATAAGTATTTGTGCAGTTTTGACTTTTTATCAGTCAATCGTTTTCAACCTTTGACCTATAATTAAATAAAATATATATTATATACTCCGTATTAATTAGATAAAATAATATTTTGAAAATATTTTATATAACATATCTAATAAAATTATTTTGTATCAATATCTAATATCATTTTTATTTAATATTGGGTTAAAGTTTATCAATTTTGACCGGAAAAGTCAAAAGTAGATAAATATTCTATAACAGATGAAGTAAAAAAGAAAAATGGTGATTATTTTTAAACAATTATATGAATATTTGTTTAAAGAAATAAACATGAGTAATCTTATTTTTCAAATACTAATAAAATAATTTTGTAGAAGGAAAAAACAAAATGGTGAAATAATGCATTTTGGTACTCCCTGCAATATTTAAAAAGTGTGAGGGTGGAATGGATGAACTATAGCTATAGCCTTCGAAAAAATAAAATAAAAATCTAGTAGGAGGGCAATGTCAAATTATTAATGTTGTCAAAATATTCTTAGAAGGGTAATATTGTCTGCTTTTTTTAAAACCGAAAATGTGAAGTGTCACTATCAATACATGAACGTCATGAAGTGCCAAGATCAATTGCCAAAATTAAAATGAATGATTAAATTTGTTTTGAAAGAGTAAAAGAGTTGTGAAGTACTCCGTATATATTCTCTACTTTATTATGAAAACTGATTGGAAAATAATTAAAGGCATAATCAGTAAAAAAAATTGTAATGTGTTCATCTCGTGAGAGCTTAGACCCTGTTTGGTATACATAGTACAGGTCATGAGATTAGAATTAGAAACTTAAACTTTAATTGTATTGTTTGGTTACATAAAAATATGTGGATTGAGAATTAAATTATAATTTCAAATTTTCTAATTCCACATTTTTTCAATTCCACAACACAACAAAAATATTTAAAATCTAGAATTTGATTTCTATTGTCAAAATGAAATCGTGTGAATACTTTCTGTGTCATAACAAAAAAATGAGTCTTATATAATTTTGGGTGTATTGGAAAAAAAACTTTTCAGTTGGCTTTTGGTTTCTCTCACAAACTTTGACTTTTTTGACTAATTAAAAAAACCAAAAACCAATATAAACTAAAATTTAAATTATAAAAATATAAATTTAAATTTCAAACGTTAAATTTTAAAATTAAAAATCTGAAATTTAATTATTAAAATCAAAAATTAAGTTTGAAATTAAAAACTAAAACTTTAAAAACTACTACTCAATATTCAGATTTCACCAGCATTCACAAATTATATACTCCCTATCCCCAGATCATTTTAATCCTGTTTATTTAAATATTTATGCAAAATTTAAAATAATAATTTACGGAATATCTACTAAAAAAATAAAATAAATTTTCTGTAAACATATGTGGTTATTTTAATAAAGCGAGAGTATAAATTCGAGATATATCAATTTTCAAATAGAAAGTGATAGTGAATTTTTGTATCATGGAGTTTTAATTTTGGTATACTTCAAGTATTTGTTACTCTCTTTTTATGCATGATAAATTTTTATTTTAGAATAAAATCTATCTTCAAACTTTAATGGTACAAAACTTTTTTTATTTCATTCTTTTAACAAACATGACAAATTTGAGAAAGTAATATCAAAATATCTTAATAGGTTAGAATTAATGCATTATTACTCATATTATTTTACTTTGAATTTTTTTCTCTTTTTGTTTGTAATCAAACTTCCACGGAACGTACTTTACGTCAACTGACTGAGATTAAAATTCATTTTATCTCTTCTCATCTAATCATTTAATTGTCTGACCCTTGTCATCCTTTTTATAATCAATACTTTTTAAATATGTACACATCATTACTCTCTCCATCCTAAATTAATTGTAACGATTTAATTTTTACGATGTTTAAAAAATATGTTAACTTTCAAAGTGAATGATTATATTTGTTTTGAAAAAGAAAAGAGTTGTGAAGCATATATTCTTTATTTTATTATGAAAATCGTTTGGCAAATTTGTAATGTGTCCATCTCGTAAGAGTTTAGCACTTAACTTTAGCATTTAAAAAAAAAATCTAATGATGGCATTTATCTTTATTGTTTACACAATTAGTGTGTGTGCAAAATATAAATATTACTCCCCATTGTTATTGTAGAAACGAAAGCCTTATCCTCTTGCCGCAAGGATCGGAAATGACTAATGCACGGAGTTGGATTCCCATGGTTATCTAAATGATCATCTTTGGCGAGTGGGAGTGTTTGCGACCAAAACCTAGTCTAAAGTGTTCAATGCTTATGCTTATGTGAAAAGGATCTTAGGGGCTATCTTCTTTTTGAATCCTTTTCTTGATTGACTGTGTCACCTTCCTTATCCTCTGGAGTCGCATTGGTAAGGATTTCGAGCGTCAAGCATAGCCGATCTTTCCGCATTTCCCATAAACAAATTAGAGTTTTTTTGTGTGGTATATTATTTCATATTAGTGTAGACATTTTGAATAAAATTTTAATGATAGAGATCATTTTTAAAAATGCTAAAACTAAATGTTATCTTAGATTAAATTTTCAAAATACTAACTTTAAGTTTTGACGATGTTGTCGAATCGATTCTAACGTGGACCCGTTAACTTATGTTTATTAAGAGCATGTTTCGAAACAAATTTACTACAAAGCATTTTTGTATTTAAAAATTTCATCAAATGACAATATTTAACTTTTACATTTTCAAAATTAATTTATACATATAAAAATGCTAATGTTAATTAATAAAGATGTTCTCAAACAAGGAAGTTATTGGGTCCGTTAACGTATGGGCCGGCCTTCCACATTTCCACCATTTGCAGCACTTAGCCCAACTCAAATTCTTTCCACTATGACCTCCTTCCTCCTCCATCTCCGGTATCTTGGCTGCTCCGTTTTTTGTTCCCGTTCAACGCTCCGCCGCCGCGCTACCACGCGGCTCCGTCGCTGGCGAACCTCAACTCAGGTGTCGCAGATTAGTTGAAGAAGATGTACGATCAATATGTAGAAGATTGCAAATGTTTGGTTCATCAGATGAAGCAGGAAGAGAAGGACCTTCGGCTGAGAAGAAGGTCAGTATTTTGTTTTCAAAGAAAAACCTCTCCAATCGTTGTTTGCATGAAAAAAAGTGTTTAGAACTGGTAGGTTCAAATGGACAGCAGCAAAAAGAACAAATGGGGAATCCCAATAGAAACATAAGAATTCATAGTATAAAGAAGGAACGAAGTGAGGGTAACCTCAATATTTTAGGGTAACCTTACCCCCCCCCCCCCAATGCTTTAGGCACATACAATAATTTCTGGTGCGGCACCAAGTGTGCTTGTATATGTAAAGCATGGGGTCGTGGTAACCCCAAAATGTTGGGGTTACCCTAGCACAACTCTTCGAGAAAAAATGGGAAACCTTCTTTATGGTGCCAAATTTTCCAGGAATGGTCACTATTTACAAAACAGTGGATGTTCGAGTAGGGGCGAGGTCTGCGTACACACACCCTCTCCACCCTCTCCAGACCCCACTTGTGTGGGATCCTATTGGGTTGTTGTTGTTGGATTATCTGCAATTTCTTTTATGCTTCATGGCTTCAGGCATTAAAATTTGTGTATTCTTTGTTGTGCAGGTGGTTGCTGGGTTTAGGTTTATCACGAAGAGAACATAATCACTTAGAGTCACTTATTCCTCCCAATGACAAGTACTAATTGCTATTATGTTCATTATCTTTTTTTGTTATTTTCTTTTTCTTTTATAGTTCATCATTGAGCAGTTAGGTGGGTAGTAGAGAAGTGACAAGGAGCAACCAATCTATCTTATGTGTGTGTGGTGCATGTATGTCAGTGTGTGTGCGTCATACTAAATGAGATTATAAATTTATTAATGAATGTGTATAACAATGTAGACCAATTCATTTATTTATGAAAAATTTAGAACAGAAAGCACTCAAGGGAGTGAGATATGAGAGGTTTGGGAGTGGTCCAGACTCCAGAGTTGCTTCACGTTCCTCCCATCCACCTAATTTCTCCTATGGGACACTCGATACTCTTCCATTTTCCATCCTCTCCAAAGTAGTCCAATTAAACTAGAGCTTAAGCAATAATGGATTTATAACTAGTTTATTTTTATATATATTCACTGAATGGATGTCCCACGGTCCCACCTATCAGAAAAGGCTAAACGAAATACAGAAGTGGAATTTGAGGCAGTTGCCAAATGGAGTAATAAACTAGAAATGTGTTCTTGGTGAGTAGTTATGTTATACATCCAATGTACATTGAGCATTGTTTATCCATCACGTGAAAATGAGAATTTTAAAACCAAAATGATTATTTCCCACAGCAAAATGACCAAAGTTATAAAAAAAAAACTAAAACACTACAAGAGTAAACAATGAGAATTATTCAGAGCAACAATGAGCTTGTCTTGTCATCTGAAAAATTTCAAAAAACGACATGGATGTAAATATAAATCCAAATGTATAATAGAATTTTCCATTGGCCCTTTATAAGTCTATTTTGATATCATTCTCTTATCAGGAGTGCCTTTTTTGTTCTGTTTGTGGGTCAGACATTCTTTATTTATTTCCATATGTTTCAAAACAAGCAAGTAATTGAGATTTGTATAATCACGAGTTTTGCAAGTTGATAGCATTGCAATTTTTGTAGTTGGTTATGTTTAGAGCAATATTGAGTGCATTTTCACTTCTAGTTTAACTCAATCCTTGTTCTTCTTTTTTTTCTTTTTTTTGACATCCAGGTTTGTGCCTGAATGGGTTCTTAGGGAAGATGATGTAAGTATTTGATATTTTGTATTTTTTTGTGGCACAAAGCTAATGTAGTGGTATGGCCAATTTGAAACTTTTATGAAATTGATGCTTCTGATTTTCTGCATTCAACTGGAAGTAATCATTACTGAGCATTATAGTAAGTTGATTTTTAAACTCCCATTATGATACTCTATAAGAATCTTTCCACCTGATGTTTCCTGTGTTTGGTTGCAGTTAAGTTATGAGAGCATTAAAACATTTGTTGAAAAGACACATGGAATATGGGAGAAAAAAAGGAAGCACCATGTGGCTGAAGAAGAAATACAAGTCTTTGAGTCACCTAATAAGGATATCATAAAGTATATAATCTCCGTGCTAGATGAAATGACCAACAAAGGGCTATTCTCTCTTACTGAGGTTTTAAACAATGGTTCTGTTGTTAACTTCCACAAAACACGAAAGAAGATGAAAAAAATAGTCATAGAATTTCTTCCTAAACTTCTTGAATGCAATGATGACCAAAGCCAAATAAAACGGAAGCAACTCAAACACCTCCTTACGGATCCACAGTATTTTTCCCAGAATGAATCCACCCTTTCAAACCCATCCCAATCCTTCCGTGCGGTTTGTATCGATGTTCTTTCAAGGCTTGAGGAACTGCCTTTTGTGGCACTTGATGCAATGCGTCGAAATCTAAGCGAGGTTAAGGGATACACTCCAAGATTGCTACAGAAAAGGAGTGGTTGGAGTCTTAAGAGATTGATCGAACTAATAAGGAGAAAATCAGAGCAAATGTTGCGAGAGTTTGGTGATGCAAATGAGCCACCAGAACCCTTGGTAAAAGCTTTAGCAGTTGCACAATTGATGTTAAAACCAGATTCAAGAACATCGTTTTCTAACGTTTCACCTGATATAGAGATGCTGCAAACTGACATTATGAGTGCTATTCAATTAGTCCAGGACATAAGGAAGATAAGTCCGTTAACATTGAAGAAGTTGCAGGTTATGCTCGACCCAGATGCTGAAGCATCAGAACGAAGTACCCGTTTGCGTACCCCGATGAAGAATTTGCTGACTGAATATCTTTTAGAGTGCAGCAATATGGACACTATACCAAAGCCTTTGCTAGAAGCTGTTAGAATTATTCTCAATAGGTCATCTCAGAAGAGTCAATCACACAGAATTTTATCAACTGAGGAGATACAAGAAGAAGTGAATCAGTTGCTGAACTTGAGTGCTCAGGCAAAGCAGATAGTATGGGACTATCTTCCAGAAAATGAATTTGATAGCGATTTCGCTGAAGCTTACATGGATGATGTTGATGAATGTTGTTGTGATGAATCAGGAGGTTCTGAGATTCCAAATTTTATCTCTGGCCATACTAGATATGGCAGTAATACTACCAGTGATATATATTGCCAACCAGAAAGTGTTGGTGAGAACAGTCCAGTTGATTCTTTCAAATCACCTGGCTCTTCAAGTCTAGCTGAGAACTGCCCACTTCTCCTTTCACCTAACACACACTCAAGTATTAAACTGGAACCAATGCAAATTACTGAAACAACCTCAGTGCAAAATGTTGTTGGCACTCGTAGCATGGATTATGGAAACGGGGTTCAGACTCATCCTCATATTTATAAACGTTCTTTTAATGGAGGACCATCAGAGTGTTTTGACAATGGAATGAAAGATTCAAAAGCAGATTTGGGTTGCATGCCAAAATTTCAAGCATCTTCTCACGATTCATCAAAATGCACCGATGGTGAGAAAAACAAGTTGGAGAATGAGTACCTCATAATCCAAGAAGCTTGTGATGAAACAAGCATGCTTGCTTATTCATTGGTTGACCATGTATTTAATGGGGTGAGAATGTCACAGATTTCTAAAGGTATTTTAAACTTTCTATGCTCAATGATATGGTAGACTAGTGATGATCATGAATTCATGGTTCTGTAGACTAGTGATGATCATAAATCATGTTTCTTGCCTCCAGTTTCTAGATAAGACACTATTCTCAAATCTCAAGAAGTAAAATTTAGTTCTACTTCTGCAAAAACAAACATGTACAAGTATATTACTTTCTTAGGTAGCAAAGTTTCTGGGATATGCAGTCATGTACCTATGTTGTACCTCACATTTTTTGGTTATGTAAACTCTTGTTATATTCCCTAAATGTCATACAATATATTACCTCTGTCCCAGTGTATTTATCTACTCTTCCTTCTTGGGTTGTTTGAGTGTATTGGTCGGCTTTCAATTTAAGAAAAAGAACTAAAGCCATGTTTACTTATTTGCCCCCACTTAATACTCCAACTCCCCCACCCAAAAAGTAAAAGTAAGATCATAATAGTCACTTCTTTTCCCTTCTCCTTGGTGCATGTGCAAAATGAATGTAAATTGTTGGCAATTACATTGGGGCGCATGGAGTAATATTTCCGTTCCCCTTTTGTTTCCAGTCTCAAAAAGGAAGAGTTTTTGTGATGATGGTGTAGGCTCAGTTCTGATCAGTGCACTTGAACTCTTAATGCCTTCATTTCCTACAAGGTACACAATTATCACTTCAATGCTCGTAGCTTATTTACCTTCTTTTCTATCCGTCCATCTGATTATCAACTTTGGTGGTTTGACCACACTTGGGATTTAAGAAAATGAAATCTGTGTGGTTGAATTTGTCTAGAAGAGTGAAATATTAAAAATCAAATATCGCTCTCCTTGTAAGGTAATGGGTGATAATTTAGGAACGGACAAAAAAGGGAAGCTCGGGAGAGGGGAGTGTGTATATGTGGAACCACGGAGTATAATACAGTTCATTCCAACAATACATTTAAAATGTCATTTTCCCTGTTTTCCTTATTTTTCCTTGTTAACGAAGAAATATATAAAGGTGGCCCATAAATGGTGATTTGAGAGTTAAATAAAATTGGCAGAATGGCACAAGTTGGAGTCACAATATTTTTCATTGTTAGTCCATGTGTTTTTGTCTCAAGTGACTTATAATAGGAGCAGAGGGAATAGTTGTATCATTGTATGGCCCTTTCTCACTTTCTGCTTCACGTTTATAATTAGAAGGCGAACTTTCTTATTATCTATGAAGTACTGTCTAACCTCGCCAACACTTGTTTAAAAAAATGCAGCGAGAAAGAGGAATTGAAAGTGTTTTTGGGCATATAGGAAAGGATAGAATCCAATGACCAAAGCAAAAATCAAGCAATGAAAGCCGAGTTATTTGACGCAGGTAACACAACAGAACAGTTTAGCATTGGTATTGAAATGCAGATTGTGTTTTACTTCGGCAAATGGTTACCCATTTGAAAAGAAGAATCATTCTAACTGTGGACTGCATGCAGGGCTGGCCTTATCTAAACAAATTCATCTCTCTGCGTTCGAATTTAGTTCTCCGATCGTCCCAACCCCCAAATTTAAGAAATGGGGTAAATTCCTTGAAGCAGCTAGGCTGGCTTTTACGTCTTGCGAAGATTAAAGTTTTGGTTTATACAATTTTGTATTAGCATTATCCCAATTGTGTTGCACCTGGGTTACTAATATACATTTTTACAATTTACCCCCAAAAAGGAATGGGGTAAATTCATAGGAAAAAGTGTCTTCCCTCCATTGTTGGCAATAACATAAATGCTCTGTATACAAGTTCTTCATGGGTATTTTGGGTAATTCCCATCATTTGTTTACCAAATACTATCTCCATTCCAGAGTATTGACAAACTTTGGTCATCAATAAATAAAAGTTATTTTGCATATTAGTACAAAAATGATTTCATTAGATTTATCTTGCATAAAGTTTTTCAAAAACTAATTTTATTGTCTTAAAATGCGATGTAAATTTAATGTAATTGATAATTACCTTTGTCCAATTTATCTTTAAAAGGTCAAACTTGATGAAAATGTGGATACCTGATTACAGATTGGGGTGGGAGTATGAAAAATGTGTCTTAGAGACTTTCCTGATTTTGCAAGTCATATTGTTGAAGTTGATGAGAAAATGAATTGATTGTTTACACAAAAGAAAAAAATATATTGTACCTAACTTTGCCTTAGTTTATTTTTATTTTTTTGGTGTGTTTTTTTCTCCTTTGTTTAATGTCTCAAGGGATTGTAGAACTAAAGAACCTCCAAATTAATTAGGTTTGGCACAAAATTTAAGAAAAATAAAAATGTGTGATAAAAAGTGAAGTAGATGAGAGAGAAAAATGTTGGGTCATCCAAATATTTTTTTTGGAACGTTTCGAAAAAGAAATGAGGAGTCTTTTTTTAGAACAGGGAGAGCACATAATACTATCACTAATGTTGTACTCCGTATTTGTTTCGAATTTCGATATGGGTAAAGTTTGTGTACTTCGCCCTCTTGAATCCAACTTGTTGAACTTATAGGGTTATTCTTTTTAATTTCATTTGCATCAATTTTAGTCACAATTTTTTTTTATTAATTTAAGTCATGTTTGACATTATCATTAGAGGTTAGTATTAACATTTTCAAAAGGATATATAACGGTAGCTTTTAGCGTTAGCATTTCCAGAATTGAGTTATACTCTAAAATTTTATTTAAAACACCAACGCTAATAAAAAGCTATGTTCTCAAACAAGGCCTTAACTATATAATCAAAGTGGACCCAAATTGAGACTAAAAAGTACTCCGTACATGTCAAATTCTTACATGATTCAAACGTCTACATAAATTCGTATGTGCCTTGGGTCTATAATTCTGCACATTATTTCTTATTATTAATTGTTTTGTTCTTAAATCTCAGGTTAAAATTATTATACTCCGTATGAAATTTTCTCTATATACACACTTAAGTTTTTTGTGTTTAAATAAAAAGAGTCGAATGTTGGAAAACATTGGAGTTAGGGGGGGGGACTTAGCAGAAAGTGATAATAGAGTTAAAAGAAAATGAAAAAAATTAAATATGTAACATTTTTTGTTCAAATTATTTAATTTCATTAATCATTTAATATAATAATATTGTCATGTCACCTCTAATTTTGTAGTTTTTAAGTATAACTTTTGATGTAGTTTTTAAGTATATATATATTTTAAAAATTTTACACTTATAATATTAATCAAATAAATTGAATTGAAAATAAAGTTAATCAAATTTCGTAAACTAAAACGAGAAGTTAACTTTCGGACGGCGCGAGCAATAGTTCTATTAGGTTATGATATTTGGCAAAATTCACAAGAATACTCCCAGAAATTACAGGTTTCACATAAATACTCCCAAATTTGTTTATTTACACAGTTACTCCCACATTTGTCTATTATTTACGTCATTACTCCGCAATTGCTTCATCATCAGTGTTCTTCGGGTGCGTCTTTGTATACGGGATTCTTCATCTTTTTTTATTGAATTCAAATAAAATTAATATGAACAGACCTGATATTAAACATTAAAAAGATTTAGGAAGTTTGAAATTTGAATTTTTTTTAAAAAAGTGATGGGAAATAAGGGCAATGGTTAGGCTTACTAAGACGTGAGAAAGGCGATGGAGAGAATAAGTTGAGGTGAATTTGGTATATTAGAGCGAAAAAAATACATGTCTGCATTTTAACTGCTCACTTAACGCAAAAAAGACACATCTAAGTAACACTAATGATCACTACCAAATTTGGAAGTAATGATGTAAATAAAAGAAAAATGTGGGAGTAATGGGGTAAATAAACAAATTTGGAAGTATTTATGTAAAATCTGTAATTTCTGGAAGTATTCTTGTCAATTTTGCCATGATATTTTTATGTTATAAAAATATTTGTTTACTTGTTTGAAATTAAATTTGTTCATTTTTTATCATTATGAATAGCCATTGAACCAGTCACATTTTGTTTTTTTGGATCCGGTGGGTTGTCACATTTTTTTTATAACTGCTGGAGATTCATATTCATAAACTAGACAATGTCTTTGATAGAGATCTTTTTGACCAATTGCTTCAATGTTATTGATTCTACCTGAAAATAAACCTCAATCATATCAGACACAGCAGGTCAAAGAACACACAGGTGCTAATATGAAGCCCATGGTTGAACTTGAAAGAACAGCTCTTGCTCAATCTACTTATAACCTGAAGAGGAAAAAACAGTACAGTATACATATATTCTGTTGCAGAAAATAAATACCATCCATTTCCTGTAACCTTCCTTCTCTAGTGGTAGGGGAGAGTGAAAAAATGGGATTGCTGTATATTGGCCCATTCACAAGGGCTAAAATTGGCATTTTGAGAGCAAAAAATTCACAACAGATCTTCATGATGTCTCTTTCTCCCTATCTGTTGCTCAAGGGTTCCAGCTGAACTTCCATTCTTTCAGACGACCGCGACTCTTTCTCGGCAACCCTACTTGGGCTCAACAGGTCTATATCCTCTTCCTCACCATTACTACCCAACACCCAATTGCTTCTTCCGGGCGTCCGATTCCCTCTTCTTTTCCTCTGACGATACTCCAAATATATCGTTATCAAAGCCAAGACAAGAAACCAGGCAACCAATGCCCACACAAGTGCGCGCACATCTTCATCACCATACCTCTCTCCTAAATGTTTCATTCCAGTTATAAGAGCAGCGATCCCAACAATGATAGCACATCTTCCAGTGAGAACATGGACATACTCCCAAAGAAGTCGTTTTGACGAACCCTCCTCACCTGGAGAAGAAGGCTTCTTGGGTCTAAAGTATGCATTCGCCGGTTGTGCAATGACAAGTGTTATGGCAAGGAGTCCAAACTTGACGTGCAGTGAGCTGAAATAGAAGCCGCGGAGTTCAGCCACGGCAAAGAGAAACCCAAGGAAAACAATGGCTAATCCTGAGTATTGCAGGTAAACATGAATCTGGAACCAACCATCTCCCTTCAAATGTTTCAGGTATCTGGCAGCGAGAATCCCGCCAGGAAGCAAGATACCCCATGCTAGAAACATCATGAATCCATGTACTGCCAATACAGGCCGTAAATCCTCCTCTGCCTCTGCAGAGCCACGCATGAGTAGAACATGTACCGGTCTACTGCTGGTGATAGAGTGCATGTTTCTGACACTTAAGTGGGAGTCTGACCATTGGGCCCCCATGGCCCATATTACTTTGAGTGGGGTTGTGGGTTCAATGATATTTTTGCACTCTGGCATGTCGCCGTGAACGCATGATGGGAGAAACGGGCGTGTGAACTCCATAGTTATGATTCCATTTTCAGACTTGCATCTGACATTTGTCAAGTTCTCATTTGTTGGATGGATATTAGAAGCATCCTTTCCATCCACCCAATATGTGTTCACCCTTCCATTTCCATAATCATCAACCCAGCCCACATAAGCATAACTATTCACCATTTCCCGGCCAAATCCGATTGCTAGATAACCACTCTTTTTCTCGCCACGAGCTGCCATTGATATCGAATTATCTGACAACGTCCAGAATAGGGTAACCTGTTGGTCATCCAAAAGAACACTACTATTGTACATATCTGGCAAGCCTCCATCGACTACTTCAACTTTCCAGCCCATTTTCTGTGTATAAATGGAATGATAGTAAACTAAATCTGGCGTGTTACGGTCGGGGGCCCACGTCATTTCTGTAGGACTGGCTTGAACGCCTTCCGCTTCTGGACCGCCAAAATATATTGTCTCAGAAGCATTCCTCAATGTTGCATTCCCACCTATCGGGTCAGAAGTGATATAAAATGCCACGTCATGACCGGCTTGAAGTGAGAATACTATTGGGACCCCCCTCTCGACCCGAAGAACAGGTGACTCTTTCTTGTTGATGTAAAGAACTCGCGAAGGGTTTGGCGGATTCGGGTAAAATATTGCTGGACCTGCTGTGACAACCAGAGGTTCCTTTTTATCAGCATTGACAAGATCTTGATCTTGTTTGTCCTGCGCATCAAGTGGGCCCACACAATCGTTTACACGCTCTGATAGGTTAAGGGTCAAATGTCCATACGTGGACCCATGGTTTTGTGGAAGATAGAATGGGCGAAGACTGTCTGGAGGCTTTATAAGCCCTAATGCCCATATAACTGTCATTTTACTGTTTGGGTTCAATGAAAAATCATACTTCTTATCAACAGATTTCAAGGGTTTCTTATACCTAATGAAGGACACCCCATCTCTTCTGTGACCATAAACTAATCTCGTATTGTTCACTGATTCTTGATCAGATGGTTCATATACAGTGTCTGGACAAACACCCTCAGCCGTTCCATCCTTGCCTATCATACACTCACTGTACTCTGAAATGAAAAAATCATCAGAAAATGGCATGCCATCCTCTCTGAATCCAGTAACGGTCACGTCACTCCCAAACATAAACTTGGAAGAAACTGTCGGATTCGCCCACCCGAATGCCATATAATTAACAAATGGAATTGCAGCCTCTAATCCAATATCAACAGTATCTTCATTTCCATTCAATGTCCACCTAACCCTGTAATTCTCAGACAACACTCTGCAATTCTCCAGCATCGTAGGTTGCCCTTTTGTCTGAACTGCAGGCAAAAGGTCGGTCGAGTTTGTTGAATTTCCTAAAACAACATGCCCAAAATCAGAAGCTGTGGGAAGATCCCAAACCGAAACCACTTTGATTCGATCCCACGTGACGTTCTTCCTTAAACTCACAACAAAACTCTCGTTTGCATACGTTTTGTTCAAAATCTGGTCGGAGATTACAAAACCCTTTGTGAGATTCTCGAATTCTTCTCCGGCTGCACCCCACCAGCGCACATCAGAACCCTCCAGCATATCAAATTGTCTAACCCTAAAGGAGCAGCCATCCTCCACAGTCATTACACCACGCAGTTGGTGCTGCAACATGGAGAACTCATAAGTATGATTCAGATTCGGAAGAGAGCTGTTCCTCGGCTCGGGGCAACCAGTTCCATGATCATCCGAACTATACAGAGGAATCAAACAGATGAGAAATTCCAGAATAAACAGTGCGAATGACAGCCGCGAAGGTTCCATTTGAGGGGGGATCCGAAAATCCAGATTAGGGCGGGTGTTCGGGTCGCGAAATTGGGCCCTGATCTACGCCTGGATTGTGAATGCAGATCATACAACACAGGAGGTTTGCGAGATTCGTAAACGAAGGAGAAACAAGATTCGGTGGGATTACCTTAGAGATATGTGAGGGCGGCGAAGAGAATGCCGTGGCCCGGAGGAGAGGGAGCTACCGTGAGCGGCGGCGGCGGCGGTGTCCCGGACACGGCAGTTCGAGGTTGACAAAGGAGGCACGGCAGGTCTCGGAGAGCAAATGGTGTTCCAGTTTATTTAGCTGGTGTGGTGTCACTACATGGGTAATTTAATTTTCTTTTTTATTTAAATGAAAAAATATATTGATGCTCCTTTAATATACAGAATTGAAATTGAAATTCTAAAAACGGAATTAAATGAAATTTTGTTATAATTCAATTCCTTATTTTTTTTGAAAGTAAAGAAACTTCATTATTGTAAAAGAGAGATTACAAAATCCGGGGGAGTAGAAACCCAAACAGAACGACGGGCCTCTGCTCTCCTCGCAAGAGAATGAGCTACAATGTTTAACTCTCTACGAACAAAACTGATAGAACTAGAGCAAAAACCGACCAACAAGGCCTTACATTCAACAATTAATGAACCAAAATAAGAAGTAAGAGAGAATGAAGTGTCTGAAATTGCTGAAACCACACGTTGACAATCCATCAAGATCTCCACGTTATGAATATCAAGCGTCTTGATCCATGATAGAGCTTCACGACACGCCATAGCCTCCGCCATAAGAGGGTCCGGAGAACATAGTAATTCCCCATTAATAGCAGCAAGAAAACAGTTCGTCGGAGAAAATAGTGCACACCCGAAAGCAACCCTACCACTATCCGGCGCAAAAGCAGCATCAACAAAACACCGACAAGCAGAAGAAACCCCCGGCACCGCCCCCAACACTGCCCCCGCAACAGCCCCTGCCA